TATCCCTTATTATGATTTTAATATAGTTTCGTCTAAGTTTCGACTGTTATTAAGGGGTTTCGTCCCTCATCATTAGTAGGGACAGATGTTTTTATGTCTAATAATTTAAACATAATGTTATCTATATCAGGAAATTTGAAGTTATAGAAAATATCACGTTCAGATTTATCTACAAGAGCAACTTTAATAATTGCTTAGTTTTAATTGATAGGATATTTTTCTCTTGTGATATTGACAAATGAATTGTATTTGTCATAGTACAGATTAGTGATCTTTAAGATCTTTATTTGGGGTTTAGTTCAAGAAATTTTTCCATTAGAATATATGCAAAAAATTTGATAATCTGAGTTGAAGATGCTTTAAAGCTAAGGGTCAAAGTATCTAAAATATTTTTTGATACGTCAAAGAACTTGTTAATACTTATAGTTAGTTTTAGTGCAGTTATTTCTTATATTAATATAATAATTTTAGAACTTTTTCCTTTGTTAAGATTGTTGGATAAACTTTTCTCAGTAGGGTCAATTTCCATCATGCTTGTATCTTTTAGAAAGATAGGTATAATAGAAACATTTAGATATTTTGCAGTGAGATCATTATCTAAAGTTTGGGTTATATTTTATTTCTTTGTTAGTTATTTATCAGTAGCTAATAATGTAGAGTGACCGCAGTTAGTGTTCTTTCTTTCATTTTTTCTTAGAATTTTGGCAGATTATTTGATTAACAGAAAGAGTTTTTTTGATCTCCTTTTATATGATTTTTTTTAAGTTACAGTTTTTGACACTAAGAATCTATTAAAGGATAGTACTATTGAGATATTAAACCTCAACTCATCCTAGGAATCCTTAAAGTCGTGACTAGACTCAAAGGTTTAACCAGAACCTATTTGTAAATACTGGTCTAAGATTGCCACTTAGGTTGACATCCCTAAAAGCTAGCCTTCAGGGTCTCTAAACCTCAGAACTATTGTCAAATTTAAATAGAGAAATCACTTTAGCTACAGGTACTTTTGTCAGATTTTTCCTGTATTTACTAATACTATATCTGGATCATTATTATCTCTATCTAGTATCAGGATATTTTTTTATACATGACCGAAAAGGTTTAAATAATATCATCATTTATAAAACCTTAAAAAAGTAAGTAACTGTTATACTCATATCATCAAATTTATCTGAGAATTGAATTCAGCCTCTACCCTTAATGACAGCTCAATTGGATAGTACTGTGACAGTACAATATAATCTATTATCACTATAGCTACCTGTAAAAAGTATACAATTTACTAATTATTGGTTAACTATTTTTTTACTTGTGTAAGTGTTCTGAATTTGAAGATGTGAGACAGTACTCATTACAGGCCTATCAGCAATAGTCAAGTTTTTATTGATCTTCAGTTTCATTTGCATTCACTTGTTTTTCAAATCCAATATTGTCTCCTTTTACATTTTTTTTTTTTTTTGAAGATGCAATAGATTTGCAAAAACTTTATTAAAAGATAGTAAATTATACAAAATAAAATATAAAGTATAAAATAAATCATATAAAATTACATTTCAACATAATTATAAAATCTCAGACTAACTAATCTATGACTAATTAGATAAGACCTTATGAAGCATCCCTTAAAATCAATCTTAACCTAAGTGAAGAATATCATTTTTCAGAATTAATAAACAAAATAAAATAAAATAACAGACAAAAATAAATTTTATGCTATATTGAAAAGAAATTAATTATGCTTAAGATAAGATAATTCTATAAAAGAAAAATTGATGGTTATTTAATTAACTATTTGACTGAAATGAAGAGTATAAAAAATCAAAGATCTTTTCACTTTTGTAAGAATAGTGATTATAGGATAACTGTAATGATATTGGTGATGAACTCTTCTGATGAACCAGTGAAAATAATTGTAGAAGACTATAAAAATCTTGAGGAAGGTAATTTAATTGATCAAATAAATTGTGTTCAGCTGAATCATATTTGCTATCTGAATCTAGAGGAAGAATAGTATCTACTATTTCAGCGATATAGAAGAAACCTTTATTAATGTATATTTTAAAATATTTAAATATTTCTTCCATTAGATGCCACATCTTATGTAATATACTAAAAATGAAAGTTTTATCTTTTGCGATAAGAGAAGGATCTGAAACAGATATTTCAATTGGTAGTAAAAGTTCAAATTCTAAATTATCATCAGAATCTGAGAGAGGATCTTTATTATTAACCAAATGATTAGTCTTAACTCTATGATACCCTAGGTTAGACCATTCTTTAATTTAAGTACAGAATCTTCTAAAGTAGTATAAATTTGAACAATTTGAGCAAATTTTTTGATTAAGTGAAAGGATAAATAGTTTTTGATTATTGAGAGTGATATTCTGTTTCATAAAATGATTAAAGTCATCACGTGATCCAAAGTGTACAAATGCGTAATTTACTTTTGATTTCTTGAATTTACTAATAGGAATATACCAATATTTTACTTTAAAAGACTGAGTATAGATTCAATATCTCAATCAGGTATGTTAGTTAGAAGGTTTGAAACTTTTACAATAAAAGAATGACATTTGATCAGTTCTTCATTAGAAATAATATAGGATATTATTTACACGTGATTATTAAGAAAGCGAAAATTCTACATGGAGTCTAAATCTAAAAGCTGTTCCTATTTACCAGATAAGTAAACAAGTACATTAAAATAAGGAGTTTTTGTTTAATTACTATTCGTTGATATCATATGAAGTCAATCTTACTGCGTCACAAAGATTAATGAATGATCAACGTTATTAACATCATTAGTATTTTTAACTTAGTTAACATTTTTTATTGTATTTATTTTATTCTTATATTTTATTATTATTATTTATTATATTAGTATTATCGTTAAATTATAATTTATCTTTTATATTTATTTTATTATTATAAAATAATTTGGCGTTAGATAGTAATTTCTTATAATTATATTTTTATATAAATAGAGTAGAAATTTGTCCTTGCAAAGGGTAGAGATAACAGTGAAAACTTAATAGTTCGAGTTTAAGACTTAGAATCTAAAGTTAAAGATTGCTAAAGATATAAATCTTTACAATAAAGAAATCTCTTTCTAAAATTACATATATTAAAAATTCTTCAATATGTCAATTATGTTTATTGTGTTTACAAGTTATTAAAGTTATTTACTTATCTAAAGTATAAACCTAAAGTTGATTATAATAGGACTTATTTCACAATAACTTAGTAGTTTCTTGCATATTACTTCCTGTTATTAAGTTATAATTACCCTAAGTTTGACAGCTGAGCGTAGGGTTAACATCATTAGATAATACTATATCTTGATGCTATTGTTCTGATCATATATTCTGAAATTCTTGGTGAAACATTAATAAAATGATAAGTCCTTTATATTGTTTGTGATGGGATAACTAAATTGGAAGTATATGATACAGAATGTGTTGTTGTAGATCTTCAAATTTAGTATCATCTGACAGGAAGCTGTATTGTTGTTAATTTCCTGATTTAGTTTTGATTGATAAGAAGCTTTATTGTGAATTATTAAATTGAGTAAAATCCAATAGGACTAATAATCTGTAATACAGGTGAGATAAAATAGGATTTTGTTTACTATAATTTTCTTTTTAAGCGTTATTCAAGAAGGAAGATGTGAATAAAAGGAAAGACAAAATTGAGGAAGAAGAAAAAGCAGAGGCAATATTTGTTGAAATTTTGTTGTTATCTTTACTTTTGTCTTTGTTTATTCTTTGAGGTTTAAGGGAAAAACCAGATATATATTCATTTTTAATATTAAAGGAAAATGACTGTAAGAAGTATTTTTAAAGTTAGGTCATTTTATATATATTCTATTTCATTTTGTATATTAATTTGTCTAACTAAATTATGTACAAACTCTTCAAAATCCATATCCTCATCATAATTGTTCGTGAAAGGAGTAAAAGGAGGAGCAGTATCAGAAAACTCTTGAAAACTAATAGTAGCACTATTGTTATTTATTAAGGGAAAATCTTCAGATTGTTCATGTGAAAAGTTCTTTTTAATAAATTTTTTCATTTGTCAGTTCTTATTTTTTTGTTTTCTTTTTGCACTGTTTTTGTTATTTTTATACATAGTGAAAATGAAAAATTTGAGAAAGAGTTTTTTTTCTTATTTTCTTTTACATGAAAAATTCTATTCTATTTATATAAAAATTAATATAGATCATTTCTGTAATTCCTAATTCTGTTCCTCCTATTTCTGTAAATTATAATACTATTTTTGTAATTCCTAATTCTATTCTTGTAATTCTAATGTTATTCTTGTAATTTCTAATCCTATTCCTATAATTCTAATTTTATTCTTATAATTCCTAATCTCATTCCTGTAATTCTAATCTTATTTTCTATTCCTATTCCTATAATTTCTAATTTTTCTGTCTAATATTTCTACAATTTTTCCTAAGTTTTCTTCATTTAGTGACTGATTTATCCTTTTTTCTTTAGTAAGTAATTTATCCTTTTTTTTTAACTAATAGTTTAACCATATTCCATATCTCAGTTTCTTAGTTAAATATTTATCTAATAATCTTTTATTTAGCTAAATATTTCTTTAATTTTTTTTGTAATATTATATGATATTAGTTCTATAAATTTTTAATTCTACACAGTATATTAAAATTTTTTATAATATTAATTAAATAAATTAAAGAAAAAATACATTCATTTTAAAAAACAAGTATTAGGTGATATTTTCTTAAAAAATGCATTTAAAGCTAAATTTCTTTAAAGAAATTCACTTATAAAGTAATTTTCTTAAAGAATTTCATCTTTAGAATGATTTTCTTAAGGTATTTTGCTTTTAAATAATTTTTTTAAAGAATTTTGCTTCTAGAATGATTTTCTTTAAAGATAATACTTCAGAAAGTGATTTTATTAAAAAAAATGCCTCTAAATATAATTTCTTTAAAGGAAAACTATAAAGAAAATTCTCTTTAAAGAAATTGTTCTTAAAGTAATTTTTTTGAAAAAATGCTTTCAAAAACATTCTTTCAAAAGAAATTATTCTAGAAATACTTTTTTTAAGAAAATAATTCTAGAAATATTTCTCTTAAAAGAAATTATTTTCTTAAAAAAAATCATTTCTTTTAAAAAAATCATTTTAGTAATATAGATTGGTCAATAAAAAAAGGAAAAATCTACAAATTTTGAGTAATTTTAATTATTAAGCTAGTTTTATTTATATGATCATGATCAGCAGAGTGAACTAATAAAAAAATTTTAACTAAAAAGTGAATTTTCCTTTTTTTACTAACTACCTTTCATATTTCTCTTAAAGAGAATAATTCTGATAATTTTTTTTAAAGGAAATTATTCTGAAAACATTTCTTTAGAAGAATTATTTTAGAAATACTTCTTTTAATAGAATTTTATTTAGAAAAATAAATGTAAGCCAATAAGTCAACTTATAAGATATTTTAGTATAACTTAAATTGTTAAGTAATTATCTAAACTGAGTTAAAGTAAAAGTAACTTAGCTTAAGTTAATAGTAAGCTAAGCTAGTTTATGCAAAACTTTAAGACTAAATATTATTATAAAAGGTTTTATTTTATTATTATTTTCATAAATAATAAAGATAATCTGCTAAGGACTTTTGATGATCATAGAAAATCTAGTAATTATTCTATATTTAGTAAAAAATTTCTTACTATATCAAATTTAAAAATATCTGATATTTTGATATGATATATTTCATCTATACTCAAAAATAAAATTATGTGATTGAAATTGCAAATAAATTTTTTAAATATATAATTTATAAAAAATTAAAACTGATAAAATGAAAGTTTAAAACATAAGCTACAAAATTATTGAGTTTTTTTTAGGTTTATTATAAAATACCGCAACTATTAACATTTAAATTTAAGGCATTTATATAGAAATTCATTAATTTCAGACTATTAATTTCCGTAAGTTATTGTAATTTTCCATTGCATTTAATAGATTATACAAGAAAATGATTATTGTTAATCTTACGCTGTTAACATTACTCTTTCCGTCAAATAAATTAACTATGATTTGAAGTCAGGGAGGCAATAGCTATGACTTAAATCCAATCAACTTGACATGCTGTTTATTAAAGTTTATTTAGTTAACAAGAAATAAATTATAAGTTTTATATTTGCAAAATGTTAAATGTGTTTATTATTGTTATTAAATATATATTAAATACAATATTAAGAACTTGTAGGAATCTGTTGGAATCTCAAGGCATTTTCATATCTTTTATATAAGAAAATACAATTAAAGAAAATCTATGGTAAATAAGATACTACTGACAATAATAATAGAACTAACAGATATGCTAAATGTATTAAATATAATATAAATAATAAAAATATAATAAATATTAAGTATGTTCTATTTGACAGATATGGCAGATTTAGCAGATTTGTCTTATGTGACTTTCCTATCAGTTTCTGCTGGTTTCAACGTAAAGTTATTATCAAAATTATTGAAACTTTTCAAAATTTATCAAACTTGTTAAATCTTTTAAGACTTATAAAAACTCATCAAAATCTATTAAAATCTATCAAATTATCAAAACTTGTCAAAATATATTAAAACTATTAAAACAATTTTTGAAAAATTTTGATTATTACTAAAATAGATTTAGGATTTTACTTTGTAACTATATATACTAGTAATAAAATATTTGGAATTACATAAGGTTTTATTCAATTAAATATAATTATTTATTATTTGATATAAATGTATTTATAATATTTTAATAAAATTTAATTATAAATTTTAATCTAAAATTATAAATAAATAAAGTAAATAAAATAGTTAATATAAATTATTAATATAATAATATATTTAAAAATAAATTTTATTTATTAATAAAATTAATTTAAAATATAGTATTTTTAATATTTGCTAAAAAGAAAATAATTATAATTGTAATTATAAATTTGTCAAATATTAAACTTTTTAAAATAGATTATATTCATAACACAATTAACTAAAATTAAATTAAATAAATAAATTAAATATGAAAGTAAATAATTAGTAATTATAAATTTTAAACATCAAAATAAAAAAATATTTATATTTATTAAAAAATTAGTTAAGTTATGATTTTTTATTATTAAATTATTATTAATATTATTTATATATTAAATAAATTACAAAACTAATAAAAACTTATATATAGGATCTTACTATCAGAAAGAATCAACTTTACTTTTATATATTAAATATGATATTTAAGTCAAAAAATATTTAGATTTGATATTAACTTATTTATTTTTTTCTATCTATTTTATCTTTTTTATTATAAATATCCTATATATATAATATATAATAATAATTTTAAAAGTTATATAAAATTTATTAAAAGAAAAATTTTATTAAAAATTATTTATAATATATATACTGATCATTTTGTTAAAAAATAATTATATATTCTAAATGTTATTAATAAATCTTTATAATAAAATATTTTTAAAATAAAAATTATAAATAATATTAATATTAAAAATATTAACAGTTATAATTATAACTAATTGTAATTAGTCATAATTATTATACTTTAGTATTAATTAATTTTAATGATATCAAAATTAATTACATCAATTCAATATTGATTATAATTTATTAATAAAATAATCAAAATACAATTTTTTTGTTAAAATACATTTTTATTAGTAATTTGTTAATTTATACTAAAATATATTAATCTTAACTAATGTTAATTAATTAAGAGTTGTTTACTAATTAATTCACTGATCAATTTGATTAATTTTGATTAAATAATTGATTGACTAATTTTAATTAATAAATAAATTTTTATATTTAAAATAATAAATTAATAATTATTTAAATAATATATTTTTTTTTAATTATATATATAATTTAAAATTTTAAAAATATTTTAGAGTTTATGATAATACTACACCTCTTAATATTAATAAAATAATATAAAAAAAATAATTTAAAAAATGTTATTAAACAAAAAAAATTAAATTTTAATATTTAGTAAAATAAAAATTTTTGATAACTAAATCTGTTAAATTTATTATTATTAATTTATTAATTAATAAGTTAATTAAATCCAGTTAATTAATTAATCAAATGATTAAAATCTTTGACTACTATTAATGATTGTTTTGATTATTATCATAATTAATTAATATAATAATAAAATACTATTAAATAAAAAAAATAAAAAATATTAAGAATTAAGAGAATTTAACTAATATAAAATAATATAAATATTTATTAATGTAATTTATTAAATTAAATATATCAAAAAAATTTTAAATAGTAAAAAATTTATTATTAATATTATTTATTTTAATATTTTAATTTATCATATTAATTAATTAAATTATTTTTTATTAAAATATTTGAATTTTTAATTTATTAATATATTTATTTAATCTATACTTTAAATAGTTTTAATAAATTATTTAATTTTGATTAAAATAAATCAAAATAAAATTAATATAATTAAATAATAAAATTTAATATCTAATGATTTAATTTGATGATTTAAATGGGCTTTTTGCAATAGAAAGGGAGGAAACTACCAAAAAAATTTTTTTTAAGTTAATATTAAATTTGAACTTATTTTATTAAAAAAATAATATTTAGTTTATAAAGCAAAAAAAATTTTTTTTAGTAGTTTCCTCTCTTTCTATTATAAAGAGCTCATATATTAATATTTATAAAATAAATAATATTATTGTAAAATAAATAAAATAACTTATTATATGAAGATAAGTATTTTATAATAGAAAGTTAAGCTTTAAAAAATTTTTTTGAGTTAATTTTAAAACCTAAACTTATATTACTAAAATTTTATATTATTTATAAGATAAAAATTTTTTAATAATTATTTCTTTTTTTTACTACAAAATTCTAATATAAATTATAAAATAAATTATATTTTTATTAAAATAAAATTAAATATTTATTAAAATAATAAAAATAAATAAAATAAAATAATAAAATAAGAAAAATAATATAAAATTTTAAAATATAATAAAGAAAAATTCTTTAATAAAAAAAATTAATTATAATTAAATTTAAAAATAATAATTATAATTAATATTAAAAAGAAAAAAATA